ATTACCATTATTCCTATTTATATATAGATTTGTATTCATGGTGCAACATAAGACCCAAATAATGTAATAATAAAAGATATTAATAGTAGTATGTATTAATAAAGAGGGAATTAATTCCAATCTCTTTTCGATTAGGATAACTCCAAAGATTAATAATCATTGATGTAAAGTTAACAATAAATAAAAAATCTCTTTATTTTGTTAAAAAAAAAAAGATTTGTAAAAAAATAAAATACAAATATTTAAAATTTGAAGAACATTAGCAACAATAAATTTAAAAAATATTTATTTATTATAGGATTTTTTTCTCAAGGAATCGATTCATAACGCTGCACAACATGTTCTTTACGGTTAGAGAATAACCTAATAATCAAGTAATAACGAGAAGATTATTATTATCTTTATTATTACTATAAGGAACACAGGAAATAAAAAGATTAACAATACCCAGACAAATTTACCACTGAATGTACGATTACTGTTAAGAACCTCAAAGACAATAATTATATCAATGATAAACTAAAATAATTAATGAACAACAGTTAATTAGTAAATTACTCTTGTGCTCATAATAAAAAATATAGTAAAAAATATATAATTACTATAATTAGTCCAATGATACCGCCAGAAACACCAAGTACCGTATCTCCAGTCAACATTTTTTATTATTTTTATGAATAAATTTTGTTGTTTTTTGTTTTAATTGAAATGGTTTTTTTCCAAAGGAGAAAAATGAAAAAAAAAAAATTAGACTGTTTATTTATATCTATAAATAACCTTATTTGCCTGCTTGCTTGTTTATTTACTGATTGATTAATTAACTGATTGATTGATAAAAAATATTCCGATTTTTTGGGGTTTTATATCTTAAGTTGGCTACTTGACTTTAATCGCACAAGTTCTGCTACACCATCATGTGACTAGAACTTAAATACTGCGAATTTTATTAATGTGTGTAGCAATGAGCCTGGTTTATTAAAAATACTATTGTGTTCCTCTTCCCTACCCTACACTATGAGAAGAAAGACGGTGTTTGTGTAGAAGCACCCTTCTTCCGTAGGGTGTTATATCTCTACTAGTGTTGGTTTTCAAAACTATAGAGTTTCACAACTGTGCAAAAGCCGAAACTAGTTTTGATTTTTGACTTTTGACATATACCTTTTGATTTAGTTTTGACTCTCGCCTCTTCAAACTACAACACCTATCTGATTGATCTTCAATTAATAATCAAAGTTCGATTAGAATCACCAATGACACACCGATTAAAAATAAAATAAAAAATCAAAAGTATCTTAATTTATTATCAATAATCAATCAGTAAACTAAAATGTATCCTTGAAGTTACTGTCAAAAATAACTCGATTGATATTCTTTTGGTCACCGATTTTTGTTAAAAA